AAAAAAGAGAAAGATGATGAATCAGGGAATGCCTAACTTGCAATCACTCCTGCATGAACACACATCCACCCTCCTTCAGTTTGAAGATGAAAATGATGACAGTCAAAATCTCAGATTGAGGCTTCAGATGTGCTGCTCATCTTCTTTATTACATACACTCTACTTGTTACAGGTGTTAGAGAAGGCAGGGTTCTCATGCATTTTGGAGATATTTGATGCAGATGCAAATGAAGAACCGCCACTCATTTTGTGCATTAAATAAACTTCAGAGTGCTGCTAAGTGTCTTCACAAATGTTACTCTAACCTGGGTTTCTTCATTCTCAGTCACATTAAAGTGGACCTATTCCGTGCCATATTTTCTGTTGTATTAATTCTCATATTTAAACAGTCAAAGTTTGAATGAGGTAAGCATATGAACAAGTAATCCCTGCAAACTAAACATTTAGGCTTCAGACTACACTAAACGCTCAGTTTCAAACACTTCTTTACTACTCTTGCATTCAACTGATATCAGACGGTAAAGACACCCTTAAAATGGTCATCTCGTGGATACGTGCTGTATTCCATTTTCAGTGAGAAGTTGGAAATTTCAAGTTTGCAGCTGGAATTTTCAGCTAAAACCTTGAATCAAGTTGGACTTCCCACGTAAAAAGTCAGAGACATCACACCAACCCTACCTTTGTAATCCGAGGTGGCAGCGGTGAGAACTTGTAATCTTTACAACCAGTGTTCTGTATTTGTGACTGCTAAATAAACCATACACGTGGTACTGACCAGGCTCTCTGTGCTGAGGTGCCATTTTTAAGCACAGTAAATAAATGAATAATCATCATGTTATACTCCACACACTGCCTGGAAGCCTGCCATGGGGTTTACTTGGTACGAAATCACTCGCAGCTCCAAAATCTGACTTCCGATGTAAAAGCTCCACCTGCTGTTCAAAGCTTCTGTTTGCGAGGGGCACCCAAGTAGAAGAAATCTGCCTTATGCTTAATTTATGCTACCAAGGTTGTGTCGGTATTTGCCTCTGGAGACGGGTTTTTAAACCACCATTGCAATCGAACAAAATCTCAACTGTGCAGTGCCCCATGTGGAAGACACTGTGCATGAGTTAAATGCTGATTGGTTGAAAAGTGGGCCGGAATAAGGAACAGCAGAGTTCACCAGAAGTGGAAAAAATACATTATGAAAAGCTGAGGAAGGGGCTACAGTGCACACTTTTCATTGTTTTTAACATTCTGTTTCACTTCAGCTCTTTGCATGTTAGAGCTTTGCTCTTGTCTGCAGCTGGCTGACAGACTGGCAATAGCACAGGCAAGAGCCACAAGAGCACAATTTTTATAGGGCCCACATCTGACAGGAGACGCCCTCTGCAGGTAGATGGGCAGTCCAAAGCTTCCTCATGCACTACCACTGCTGAACTAAGATTTTCTTATTAAAAGGGAATAGACTGAAGAGATGAACCAAGGCTCAGAGTAAAATAACCCAGCTAACAGGCAAATGATGAACAGAGTTATTTAACATTCCTACCTTTTGTTTCTCTCCCCATGCAAATGATTCAAGCGTAACCTGAAAGCGCGTGACCATCATTTGTCGCCGACGCCGATAGTCCTCGGGCAGAATTTCATTCATTTTTTTCACTTGAAGCTGAGAAACAGGCAAAGATATAAATGCCACATTAGAGTCACGTCTAAAGTCTTGTGAGCTGAAAACAGGCCTGGCAGCTTACCCACTGCTCTGAGCTGAGGCTGGTGCTGAGAAGAGGTTTGGTCATGTCTCCACTTGGTAGGTGAGAAAGCCTCTCATTCACCTGCATTAAAGCAAATGTTTGTAAACTCCTCTTTCAGTGCTTCTCAGTCTGTATTCGCAATTTATTCATGGCTCAATCTCTGTTATTTCAAGCTTACCTCGTTCAAAACGTCCTCAAACCGAGAGGAGGCGTCCATGTTGAGAGCACGCAGAAGTAAAATCCATTCTGCTTGCATCTCTGCCTTCCTCCTGTTTTCACCCGAACCGTCATCGCCTTCGTTTTCCTCACAAAAGTCACGGCTCAGATCTTCAACTCGCTGCTCTTTTTCAGAGTCCGCTTCTGTCGCCTGCTCGTCAGGATGTGACTCTTTGTACTTGATAATGCGAGCTGCTTGCAATTCTGATACAAGGAACTCTGCAAGATGTGCAAAAGATCACTAAATCCACGAGCACTGCAATCATCTGTTCTTACTACAACAGTATCCACCACAGTCCTGTTTCTCACCAGCGACTTTGTTGAGAGTGGATGGGTCCAACACCTCGGAGGTCAGCACAGCGAGGGGAGAGGATATGTTTGATAGTACATTTTTCAGCTCTCCCGCCAGCAGCACATCACCTGACCCTCCTGAGTCTAAAAAAGGACAATTAAGCCAGTTTATTTAACACATTTCACTGCAAGTTGAGTCAGAAAGATCTGATTTTTTTTCATGGCTTATATTTGTAACATAGTAACCATCAGTTTGTTTACCAAAGCATGTTTTGGTTGTAGTTATATAATGCATATAAATTACAGCTAATGTGAAATGCATCTCAGTAGCTTCATATTAAATTAACTGCGGGTAAAATTATGAAAATGGTGTCACTATCCAAATGTTTCCAAATCCAATTCTACTCAACATGTGAAGATGTTTTACTTTTGTAGAGCATCTGTCAACGTGTAAAAAATATCCTGTTATTTTTATTTATTTAAGGCATCTAAATCGGCTGTTCTGTAACTGGTTTGGTGAATTAATGTGGATGTTTTCAGAAAGGACTTGCATTTTGTTTTACATTACATAAAAAGTAAGGTCGATTCTTAAGCAGTTGCTTTGCTGAGTCGGCCCACTTGAGACCACAGTGACCCCTCTGCGTGAGACAGTAAAAAATCCACAATCCTGAGATGGTTTCCTCCTTCCTTGGGAGAATGTGCTGTATTAAAGGCAATGGTTAAACATGAAAAAGCCTCTCTCAAAGATTTATGAATGAAAATCTCAGGCCTGAGCCTCACCTCGTAGCTCCGGGCAGAGAGTCCTGAGCTCTGCGCACAGCCAGCTGAGCAGCGGACAGGGAAGCTCGTCACATCTGCACCGGGAGAGGCAGCGGCTGCCCGGGTACCTGACCAGGAAGTAAGTGGAGGCGACAGGTGAGATTACCTATTCACCTGTCAGGCGTATCGGCAAGTGTCATTATACATCAAAAGCCCAAAAAGCAGGCAGAGAATAAGGTTTCTCTTCTCAAATTAAAGTTTCGTAACGACGAAAAACAAACATGTTAATCACCCCAGAGCTTTAATGGCTGAAACTGTCCCCGCGCTCCTCTCCATGAAGACAGGCGTGTACGGCTTATTCTTTACTCTGCGAAGTTCAAGTGTGTTTACAAGGGGTGCTTCCTCCTTTAACATCCAAGGACGCTCACCGCCCCCTGCTGGCCGGAGTGCGCACAACAACTTCATAAATAACCAAGTCGTTCACTGGAGACGGAATGAATAAACAAAGGATAAATTACAGAAAGTGCAACGATTTTACAAAGTATGAACACAAAAGTACAAGATTGTGGAGCAAGTGTATGAAAAATTATAAAAGTTAACAGTATTATTTGCCCCAATTTTAAAAAAGAAAATAAGTAATCGTGTTTTTTTTAAACAACAACGTAATTATTAAAAAATATATTAAAAGCAAAGCAGAACAGAAAAACATTACATTTTGTATGAATAAGTTTAGGTTATTTTTCGGTTACAGAATTAGTGAATAAAGTAGTACATTTAGCTTTTCAAAGGTTTCAAACTATTCGTGTAATACTTACTCTCCCTCAACTTAACACTTTATGCATCTCTATTTGACGGCATCTTTTTAAAACTTTCTCCCGTGATATAATGAAAAAAGTTTCACTCTGCCCCCACACATCACACCTTTCTCACTTCTTGAGGGGAACAAATTGTCCTATAAGGACGGAATACGCGTTTGTTTGCCCGTTAGGGGTCACCAGAGGTCTAGTATAGCCTGCTGTGTTAACCAAAGATAAATCTGCTGGCATTAAGTACCTTGAAAGGTGGGATGCAACTAAACAGATATTAGATACGTGATATGTGATGTTTGTGTAATATATGTATGTATTGTTTTCTGCTACTCAAATTTAACTTTAAATCAGATCTCAGTTGTCATGTTAGAATACAGATGTTTGAAACGTGAACACAGCTCCATTCATTAGGACTTATTAACATCAGCTTCCATCCTCTGCTCTGGAGTGAATATTATGAGCAAATTAACTAGTTTAATTAATTAATGTCTGTTATCTTGTCAAATTATCATTATGTACAGTGGCTGAACATGAACTCAACTAAGAATATCACAGTCATGTCTCCTGTTCAGCTGTTTGATACACCATTTACACTGAACACTATTTACTGCTCTCAGCACTATCCTGCGTCTTGCTGATGCAGCTGATGTTTGCTGCAGTGTTATATGCAGTATCCCTGTTGTCAGGGATTTTTTTTGATTTAAAACATCAGTGAGAGTTTTATGGTGGATGGTTCTGCTTGTGTAGCTTGAACTCAATAGGCAGCAAATGTTAGATGAGAAAATCTTGAAGTAAAGGGTGATGCTCCTCTGTGGCCTGAGTCATCTTTTCAGTAATAGATTTTATAAGCAAGTTTGGCTTTCATTGAACAAATGCAAACATGTTTCCTCTTCTCATGTCTGACTCTGTGCACACACTCTTAAACACAAGTACTTCAAGGTCTGAGTGTGCTGTTCAGCACACGTGTCCCTCGTTGGACTTCACTGCAGGAGGTATGTGAGCCTCCTCGTCACACTTACGCCACATCAGCTGCCCCCAAACTAACAGGAACAATGGAAACAATGGCAGCGAGGCGTGTTGGGCCCTGATGTACAGTGCGTCTGCTTTTGCCGCCATATGTACAGAAGCTGCGGCTTCCCTGACTACAAAAGCCTTGCCATGCGTCAGGATGCTTTGTCTTTTATTCCCCTGACACTGCCCCGTGCTCCATGAAACCTTGTGGAGGCTGACCCTTGACCCCTGGAAAGCATCTACACAATGCAGGCAGAAACTCCCTTTGTTTATAAGGCTAACTTGTTAACCACTTGCTGCCTGATTAAAAACAGAGTTCCACCTGATTTCACAAAATACTGACTTGCATACTTAAAAAAATGAAGATATAACCCATTTCCAAAACTTTACACTAACAAATTATAAATAACTGAGAAGATTAAACTAAAAGAAATTGGTAGTAATAAAAAAAAATCTCCATGTGTAAATATGTGTACTTAACGTGGATGCATGAAAAAACAATGCAGTCCTGTTCATGTGAACAAGTGCAAAATAAACATGCAGATGTATAATCTTACATTTTACAAGCTGTATGCATACTACACCCAACCAGGAGCATGTAGAAGCTCATTTTTCCCCCCAAAAAAAAGAAAAGAAAAAGCTTAATAAACATATTCAGCATGTAGAGAAAAAGGTGTGACTTGTGTAAATGGATAAATGAGACAGAGCGAGAGAGAGAGAGATACATGTAGCTTTGAATAAAATAGAAAAACAGGATATAAGAACCAGTCTATTTACAATTTAACGCTTTATTCCAGTTCAAAGTGCTTCAAAAGTGATAAACTGATAATAATAAAAAACCCAAATTGAATGAAATGAAACCATAACAAATAAATTACATTTAAAACGGCCTGTAAGTACCATAAAATTACTTCAATTTAAGAATAATAAATACTTTTATCAAAGTATGAAAACATATTTTTTTAAAAAGCAGAAACACTGGTTTTTGAAGTTTACTGGTATCACATGTGTGCATTTCGTGATGCTGCAATGGGACGTCATCTGTTGTTTGACTAATGTCCTCCACAGTGAATGATTATAATAAACAATATGCTGCAGTCCGGTAAAACTTCAAGAAAAACAGTTCCCACTGTTTCACAGCACCATGCAGGTGCTTGTGTGTCTTTCCATTTTACATTTTCCACACTCTGAGCCCTGCGGCAGGGCAGGTATCGATGTGGTTCCCGAGCTGGGTGGTGACAGTTGCTCAGGTGACTGAAACCAACACCCCACGGAGACAAACCGCCATCTGCGGGTGACAGAGGGAGGGAGCAGCCTGCTTTCACCAGACAGCTCCAACCTTCGGTTCGACTTCACTTACATTTACACTCTGCTCGACTCAGCAGCTACACGCAGGTGTCATGAGTGGGCATCCACAGATGCGCGTTTATGGCACCGTTCCCGCGTGTTTTCTTTATATAAGAAGCTATATTAAGGTGTTATTGGATTAGCTATGGATCGACTCGATGATTGGAGCTTCAAGTCCAAGAAAATAATGGACCTAGAGGAGGATTTCTTTTTCCACTATGGAGCGGAGGAAATGACAGATTATCAGGACCCCAGTGAACTTCTGGCTGCTTTAAAACAAAAGGAGGAAGAGGTTATTTTGGCAGCCCAGCTGGGAAACGCATTGCTCCTAGAAAACCGCCAGCTTAAGGAGCAGAGCGAAAAACTTCATGAGCAATACGCAGAGAAGCTGGAGGTAAGGAGAATCCGATTCCCTACAGGTGAACTAATAATCTGGTAGGTTTTGTAATAATCTAAAACATTCTGTGAAATGTTCGGGTTGAAGTGTTTAGAATTACGTCATGGTTGTTGCTGTTTGAAGTGGGCGGGTAAGAAGTTTTCCCGATGTCCAAAGATTGTATGCTGTTGTTTCTCTCCCAGCTTTACGCACGAAAACGCGTAAAAATCTTTCTAGCTCTATTTATTTAAGTTAAGGTGACCAACTTAAATATTCAACATTAATGACATTGAGTCACCTGAGTCATTTATTGGGACCTCCGACCGCACTATATTAACGTGTTCTCAATATTTTGGCCATCCCATGAAAAGACATTTACAATTGTAAACGGAAAAAGCAGCATAAAAAAGGCACTGCTAAGGTGTTCCTACTAAACTGGTTGGTTTACAAAATAATGAATGCAATATATTCAACGTTAAATAAGCTGTAACTGTATAAAGAAACTATAATGTAAGCAGGCAGAAATGCTAGTGCGTTGCTAAACTTTACTAACTCTCTCTGAAGCGATCTTTTGTGTTCTCCCAGCGACTGTAAAACTATTTCTATCTTAGCAGACCTGTCAGTACTGAAATTCCTTCTAGGTAGTCTTGCTGCATACTTGTGAGACACTTCAACTCCTCACGAGATCTCAGCAGTCAGACAGAAAATGTAGTAATAAAAGCGAACCGGTGGCATCCATGTGTTTGTCCCAGTCGACTACACCAGCACCAAATCATGTTGAGAGGCTGTGATATGAAAATAATGACCTCATTGCTTTCCCCGGGTGATGCTGATGTCTCTATCAGATGCTCGCATCAAGTCAGGTATGGCAGTCACTTAAATCACACCAAGGACAAGACAATGGTGCGCTAATGTGTCTAAATTGATGTAAACGTGCTGCGTGAACTTTTCTGATTGAATTTGCCAGAGAGGTGTGGTAAATGTCTGGAACAGTCATTTTCTTGAGGGGGGGGGGGGATTTTTAGCCCTTATTGTCTTAAGAAAGTTGAGAGAAGGCAGGAAAGTTTGAAAGAGAGAGAACAGGGGAAGATTCAGACCCAGTCCTCTTTATTTACCTTACACCTTATGGGTCACCTGCACAACCCATTGAGCTAAAATAGTGCTGGATCAATCAGGTGTCATGGCAAGTTAATGCTTGGATGACTTTTCTGTTGACTGACAAACTGACTGATCTTTTAAGCTCCAAAGGAATGGATGAAAGCAGAGTGGATGTTTTCCTCTTCTAGCTTTAATGATATCAGCTACCCTATTGTTACGGATTCAAATTACAGCTGTTGGACATTTCCTGTTATCCGTCAGAGCACTAAATGAGGTTGACAGGTGCTTGTGCTCACTCAAATGCCTTCCAACAACACTCTCACGATGCCAAACAGCTTCATTTGCTGCAGTCGTAGCTAGACAACTGAACTGTATTTACTGCTTTATATTTTAAAATCTTTGTTTTGCTACACCCACCCTAAAGATCACCTGTTAAGGCATTTATCTTTTCCACCTCCGATAGGAGCTGGAGCAGGGAAAACATGAGGTGCGACTGAAGCTGGAGCGCCACCAGTCCCAGTGGGAGAGCCAGATGGGAGACCTGGAGCGGGATGCGAGGGAGCTGAGCGCCCAGGTGGAGCAGCTTACCCGGGCGCTCAGCGAGGCTGAGAGGGACAAGAGTCGAACTCAGCTGGAGCACAACGAGAACACTCAGCGGCTCCAGGAGGAGCTCAAAGCTGTGAGTCCCACACCTGGATGGGTAGATTCACGTTTTTCATCTTTGCTCAAAAAGTAACCGAGCCTCAGTGAAACAAACACCGGCAGTAGATTCAAAGCTTCAGGCCGTCTGAGTAAAACTAGAAAGTTACTCAATCCACCCACTGAAACTCGGTGTTCCCGTGTGAACTACTCCGGTATCAGCCTGACTGTATTTGATCTAAAGCAATGCCACACTCTGAGGATATTTGAAGGCTCATAGCAAGGTCACAGCTAAAATACTTCTACTACAAATAAGTGTTTTGATCAATGAGAAAGAGAGCGATAGAGCTAGAGTCAGCTGGGAGCTGCATATCAAAACCTGAGCAGTTTCCCTCAGGCAAATCAGCAATGTCAAGTGCAGAGCAGGAGGGAAACGACATGTAAACAAGAGGGGGAGGGAAACTTCAAGCATGACTTAATTTTAAATCCAAGAGAGAGGGAGGGAAGCTTGGAAAATACCTGGAAGAAGCTTTATTCAAATTCTAGTTCAGGCAAATGAATTCAACTCATTGCCGTATAATTATTTTAGCCACTTTTTTATGTCATTGTACCTGTGAAATGTAATAGAAAAATGTCCTAAATAATCTATTAGACATATTATAGAAGCTTTTATCAGAACATTATAATCTGTTACGTTGGTTTATTCAGTAACATAAAGTTAACCTTTAACTAGCTTGACATCATAAGGACGCTGACAACATGCCGCTGATTCACGTCTTCAGGAGTTCATGAGTGTTGAAGTAAATTATTTATGATCATAAGTATCTGATCAGAAATGCAGTACACTGTACACAAAGCAGGCTGGTGACAGCTTCTTATCAGTGGAGCTGACTGGATCACACAGCTGGAGCAAACTTGAGTATTTTTCCAGGCTGAGAAAGTGAGGATTGTTTTGCTCAGCGTTGCTGTTGTGACGTGCTGCGTTCCACACGACAAACCTCTGCTCACGCAGAATGAACAGCAGACACGAGCTTGTAAGGAGTCAAGGTCCACGAAATAAGGAACTGTGAGCTTCCTTCCCCCTCTGTGGCTATACTGAAGGACTTGGTGTGTGGAAATCAGACTCCTTAGAAGTTCAGGAAAATGCCAATTTAGATAAAAGCTTGTATCTCTCTGTTTGAGCTGTTTTAGGGGAGAGGGAGGTGGAGGAAATACTTTATTGGGCTGCCCAGTGTTAGCCAAATGTAACTCTGGTCTGTGTAGTTGTGAAGCTGAGAGAAGAGACTGAATCTTAAGACGCTCCATGTCTGACAAGTCTTTGCCTGATGTGGTGAAAGATACTGCTGCTTCTGTCGGACAGCTGTGTGGTGGGGTGAGTCGTGCTGTAATTCATTGAGTTTTTGTTTCTCACAGTTTTGACTGGAAGAGCTCGGTTTATTCATGGTGTCATGTTCAGGCTTCAGTAAGCTATACAGTAGGTTTCTTCTTTTAACTTAAAAAACAAACAAACAACAAAACTCAAGGATACTTAGGAAACTTGAATATGTCAATGAGCTAATCAATTGTAGCTGCTGTATTCAGTTTATATACTTAATGTGTAATAGACAGAATTGCATTAAATTAATCAATAAATCAAAGCTGAACTAATCTTCAAAAAACAGAAATTACATTTTAATTTAAAAGCCGAATGGACCTGAGTTGGGTTGAGAAGAAAAGTTAACCATTAACATTGAGTAGAAATAGATAGTAAATGTTATAAAGTCATAAGAAATTTTGGGGGGGGATTTACAACCACCACTAGGGAAAATATGTATTCCCTGACTGGTTGAAAGTGGTTCTTGGAGATTCTCGGTTCTCACTGGGTAAAACTGTTGCAAAGCAAGTGTTGCACCAGAACCTCTCAGTAAGGGCTTTGTTTGCTAGCAGATTAACACAAGTGCCTGTCGTTTTTATTTTTTGTTTTTATGCTGGTCTCCAAGTACTTGTTAACTAGCCAAGTGTTTGTATAACCTGAAAAAGTGTGATGTAAACCAGAAATGGAGGAGATTCACATTCAAAGTAGAAGTTGCAGTACTGCAGCCAACATGTTACAAAAAGAGCTTTTCAGTGTCAGTGTAACTGACATAGCTGGCAACTGTTTGTAGACAAGTCCGTCACTTCTATCCAAATTTCCACAGTAATATGCTAGCAATGAAAGTAATCACAAGGAGGCTTTTTGCCAACCAACTGGGGAAAACATGTTTGTCTAGTGACAGGTGCTTGCCAGAGGTTCACTAATTGGTCAGGAGACCTGTGTGACCTGGGGCAGTTGACAGCCATTAACTTCTAGCAACCACTTGCAACTGATTGGGGAATACTCATTTTTCCCTAATGACTGGTGGTCAACCATATTTGCAGAGCAGTCTCATTCACAGTCACCATGATTGTCACACATCCAGAATGGCCAACTTAGCTGAAAGTTAAGATAAATTAATTAAGTTGTTAATCAAAAGCATATTTATACAATTAAAATGGTTTGTTCTAATTGTCGATAAACATTTAAAATGGTAACTTAGGAGTGTAGAGAAAGAAATGTATATGTATAATTTTTGTATGGAACTATAAGCTAAAAAGCCCCTGAAATGAATTAAATTGTTAGCTAAAAATGAAAAAGTGTCGAAGTTAAAAAATTGTTTGCCATGTGGCTAGCATTTCTCAAAGTATAGATAAATAAAATTGTTATCAAAAGCATGGGTAAGCATTTGAAGTGGGTAGCTAAAAGTGTAGATAAACAGTTAACTGATTAGTCAGGAATGTAGTTGTTTTGTTTTTTTAAATTTAATTATTAGCTTAAAGTATAAAGAATTAAAATTGTTAGCCATGTTGCTGGTAGTCATTGAAAAATATAGATAAAAAAAATATAAACTCTTAGCTAAAACTCTTAGCTAAACAGTTAAAAATTAAATGATGTTTAAAAGACAGATGCATTCGTTAATAAAAATCTAGCTGAAAGTACAAGCTAAAAACCTTCCGTTAAAGCTAGCTAAAACGTAAAAATATAGATAAACAGTTGCAAATGGAGTTATCAGCTCTCAGAAAATGAAAATGTGATGAAAAAACTATTTTCCAAAATGTTAGATAAAACCTTAAAATGTATATAAATAGTTTAAATCATTAGCTGTATGGCTAGCAGCTATCAAAAAGCGAGTTATGGACTAAAAGCTAATACCTGGGTAACCAGTTTAGGTGCTTCACTAACCATAACAGATAAATGGTAAGATGAAGCGAAAGTTTCTCACAGATGAAAACATAATCTGCTAATTATGAAACCGTAAGTAGACCATGACAGGAATCTGGAGGAGGATATAAACTGAAACCAGAGAGAAAAAGAATTTTCCAACAACATGAAAAGATTTGCTGTGAACTTCTGTCCTGGTGCACATGAGGAAGCAGCTGCATTAAAAACAATACTGATGCGTGCCAAATTGTCACACAGTGCAGACTGTTAAAACAGGAGCTCCGGAGCAGAAGCAAAGTGTTGAAAATCTCAGGGAGAGGTGACTGATGTCAGGGTGTTTTCTTACAAACCACTGCTGCAACTGTAAACCAGGCTGAAAAGACTTTGGTCAAACATGAATCACTCTCTATGTTCGTTTATTAATTTGTCACTGGAGTTTCCTGGCAGTCTCATACAAGGAAAACCACAGTTTACCGTCTGAAGAAAAACATTAAGTATGACTGTAAGGAAATGAGATAATTGCATATAGTGAAAGTAAAAACATTTTAGTATTTTGCTGATTTTGGCTGAAGTCTTGTGCAACATTTTTAGTGCATTAGAAAACTGAATATAAAAACATCTACTGGATAAGAAATACCAGACTGGAATGGGAGTATGATTACTGGATGATGAGCTGGAAATGCTGATAGTTTCCTGCATGTTTTCATGCATTTCATTCGTTTCAATTGTTTTTAAAAAACAAACAACAAAACTCGGTAAGTTTAGGACTTTGCTATGAGCTTATTTCAGGTAGACCTCACTTACTGTTGGGAAGATTATGAGCTGACACTGGCCAATAATAGACAGATTGTACACAACCAGATTGTACTGGTTGTGGGATTTATTTGCCTCATGACTGGTAATAGCCCAAGGCAAATAGGATGACTTACTGATGCCAGCGATAAGTGTTTGTGTATTTATATAGCTGTTATGGATATACACTTTTTAAAATACTTTTTAACATATTATTATTTAAAGAAGGTTTCTGTTCATTTCACTTTAGTTTTTATTGTTTGGTTTCACTTAAGTTTCAATATAATATAACCTTTTAGATATAACTCAAACGTACTGTGTGTGCATACATACAGAATATTGAATAAGTTGTATACAAAAAGAGTTAAGACCATTGCAGACAGGTGTTTCTAATTTTTTGGTCACTCTGTTGATATCTTGTTTTCTGTCAGGTTAACCGATGCAGATCACATTACCTTTTTCACTTCCTGCTTCCTACTCAGGGTCACATATCACTCACACCGGTAGCGTTTTATTGGGCAGCTGTAACGAATCCCTCACTGTGTACATTGTTTAAGACAAGCCCCCGTAACCTCGGTCAGCATCACCAAGCTCGCAGACAAAAAAGGAAAACACAATATACATTACAGAGAGATATAAATCTTTCATTTTGTTCTTTGATGTTGCACCAACGTTCCTTTATCCCAGGGGAAAGCCATCTTTTCTCTGTGCCCCCCAAGGGGCTTGGTTATAGCTGTGGAAGCCAGCTGTTGGATACTTCAGCATGTGGACTCATGAAGGCATGGAGGGGGGGTGTGTGTGGAGTGTCCTCCGTCCCCTCCTCGTTTTAGTGGCTCTCAGTGAGTCGGTGCCTCTATTGTAGAAAGAGGCCCATACTGAAATGTTCATTTTTAAACCCAGACTTCTTCTCTTCTCACTGTGTCTGCTTGCTTTTTGTTTTTATCCTTTATTCACTCACACAGACACACGCTTCCCTCTACTTATGTCCCACAAACCTGCCTCACATCCTCCATACTTTCAAGCTCTTCCCTCCAGCTTTTACTCTGGTGATGTCCGAGTTCACCATTGTTGTTTAATGTGGCATGATGATGTCACCACCAAGATCAAGATGCCCTCTGCTCCATCTGCCGTAGAGGCCGGCCTTTCATTTTGTATTATGTGGCATTGATTGGACCTGACAGGGCCCCGCCGAACTGCTGAGTAAGGGGAAATGAGGGTCCCAGTCCAGGACAAGGGAGGGCAGAAGGGGGGGCCTTTCACAGGGCCTGTAGGCACAGCAGCTTCCCAAATTTTTAATGTTGCCCAATCTTTTGTGTTTGAATCAGCTTTCAAGTTTTCCAATATTCAGTGTTTTATGGCTAAAGTTGAAAATGGGGGAAAAATGAATGAATCACTCATGCTGTTAGCTTTTACATCTGTCCTGTTTTTGCCCCAGGTTTTGGAAGCACTGCAGGCTATCAGGAAAACCAATAACCAACCACATTTAAATTTAGTCAACTAATCCCCAGCTTCTTCTCATCTCAGCTTTTGCCAAGACTTTTATTTTCTTAAAGCTCAGGCTACAGGCAGGCTTCATTTTGGATTTTCACTTTAACTGATACGCATGTGTGACGCCAGTCTCTGGCTGAGATCTTTTTAACCCTCTCCATATTTCTCATTTCATTTGCTCCCTTTGTGACTCTCCTGCGTTCGTGTTCTCTTTCTTCTGTGGACGTGTAGGCGATGGAGGTGGAGAGAGCCATGTCCACTGAGCTGCAGGCTCTGAAACAGGAGCTGCAACAAAAAGGAAGTCACAACAGGCAGCAGGACGAGGAGCTGATGAGTGCCATGAGAGAGCAGGCAAGTACTCTAATGCACACGTGCGGCCGTTACTGTGACTTTACAGAGGTGTAGCTTCATATTTATGCTAAAATATGGTCTTCTTCTTGTAGCATATCATATTTTTGTATCAATTTTTTTCTCAAATGCCTTTCTAATAATTACTTGGCATCAGTGAAGCGAGTCGTAAATGAACTTCTATCTCTTCATGTCTGGCCCATACCTGCTGGTCATGTTTAGACCTACATGGTTCTTAAAATAACGTCTTCTAAGTAATGTAAACAGTCTGTCTAAAAAGTGATCTTTTCTAATACATAATGCGTTTTATTTCATGCAATGGATGTGGTGGTTACATAAAACAGAAGAATAATGAAAGTCCTGGACAACCAGCAGCAGAAACTGGGGGAAAAAAGTACTAAAACAACACTTTATTTTGTAATAATGGTTTGATTAAAGGTTTTTAAAAAGGAATATCTGTTTTGAAATGACTTTTGAAATTGTGACGAGCAAGTTCACCTTCTTTTTTGGATGTACTCCTGAATAGGATAAATACAGTCAGACAGATTCTCGGTAAATCATCCTTTTCTCGATAAATTGTTCATTTCCGAAAATGAGAAAACGGATAGCCTTCCAAGTAAAAGTAGGAAGGTTCAAATATCAGCTTCATTCCTCCTGTTAGTGGATTGTTTTGTTGCGATGCAAGGGAGTGGTGTGAGTTAGTGAGAATTTTCCTCCCTGAGGGGAAGAAATAACTTTGTTATCTGTATTTCTGCTTGTTTTTCCAGGTGTTGCGTCTCTCACAGAAGGAACAGGTGCTGGAGCAACGATTGGAGAGCGTTTGTCAAGAAAACGAAGAACTGAGGGCGAGTTTGGCCTCTTTGGACGCACGCTTGGCTCTGCACGACCAACTCAACGAGCAGCACAGCCAGCAGGTACAAACATGAATACAGTACAGCGCAGGCAAGACTGTCATTCGAGCTCCATAGTACATAAGCAATCTGATTAGAGCTCATTGTGGCAGCAAAACCGCATCAAGTGGTTAGTGCGTGACTAAAAGAACCACAATGACAAAGATTTTCTGCTCCCTCTCTGCCAGCCTGGGTTTCGGTGGGATTGCGGAAAGTACCGCTAAACAATCACCTCACTCCCGTCACTGTATCTCTCACCCGCAACTCTGGATTCCACTCGTGTTCGTTTAGTTTCATGTTTGGCTTTAGGCTGGAATCTGGCATGTCAGGATTTCTTTCTCTTGTTGGTACAGTCTGCTTACACGAGTCTCCTATTACAGCTCCTTCCAGAGCTCATTTGACTCTTAGGCTAAAAGCAGGGATCTGTGTAATCTAGCAGGATTCATAATGTGATTTTTATCGTAGCTTCTTCATCTGTCGGACGTGTTATCCTTGTCACATTTCTGTTTTCGTTCATGTGTGCATGTGCCTCTCGCTCTCTGTGCTTTTCAGCTTGCCGAGGCGCGGCAAGAGGTGGAGGCTGCACGGGGTCATTCACAGCAGCTGCAGGCCCAGGTGGAGGAGCTTCAGGAGGAGGTGTCCCTGCAGGAAGCCAGGAGCTACGGCGACACTTCCCTGTTGTCTGAGCTGGAAAGTAGCCTGGAGATAACAGGCCTCGGAGTCAGCAAAGAAGAGGTAGGTTTACTGATTAATACAGTCAAAGCATATTGTTTTATAAAAAAAACCATCCAAAACATGCCTCATGTGGCTGATTGAAGTATTTCAATTTAATTTAAAAATATAAAGTTCACTGTGCATAAGAGTAAAGCTAATGGTAAGATGTCTCGTGACCTTATACATAAACATCACTCCACTTAGAAGACAGAGTGATGAGGGAGAAAGGAATGCAGGGGGGCGCATGTAGATGCACAACATCATTGTAATCAAGTGCAGGTGATCTTAAAACTAAGAGAGAGACAATTTTACTGTCTGTGTTAGCCTCACATAAACAATCCTGCTCCTTTAATACTTATTTGAGCACCGATTATCTGTCAGTCCACAGCTTTGAAGAGTTAACGTCTTAAATTTTCTCCTGTTTGAATGATGATTGGTAGAAACTGCAGTCCCAAACTGTTCTCAAGTTTACAAATTTGTGCCCCCGAAGCAGTAAGAATAATTTATCATTTATTCTTCTGTATTTGTATTGTTGGTATTTTAGTATCTCTAGGTGCAATAAGCATGACTTTTCTTCAACGTTGATTTTTTGCAACATTGTGATGTGTTATCCTGTATCAGTGTTATGATCTAAAATTATACGTACTGTAAAGCACAAACACACAAAAAAGTACTAGGAAAAAAGTAAAATTCCTCTTATAGCACTAATGTGAATGCTGTCGAGTCACTGCAAGACAAAATTGGAAAAACATGCAAACAGCTCTGTGTAGGAACAGCTGCACACTATCTCCATACTGTGGTTGGCTTTTGCTGCAGTGGGCCTGCAATGATTCACAGGTCACGTGCGTTTTGAGGGGAAACTGTGTTCCTGTGATGACTGGAAATGAAATGATCAAGTTGTCTTTCTTGAGAATGAGATCGCACATTTATAGCACCAGAGATACATCATTTATACTCTGAATTTTGGAAAGTGTTTGAAAATGTTGTAGCAAAAGCACGGTAGCTGTCTCTACAGAGAGAGACGCCATGCAGGAACATGTTGTGCGAGTTCTTGGTGACAGTGTGACAGCGTGTTTGCTGTCACACTGTCACCAAGGCGTGAAGCTCCTGATTGTACAGAGTGAAGTCCTGGACGAGGACTTGTGCAGAAGTCACGTGTTGGAGTTGTGTCTGGGAGAGAGCAGAAAACGTCTTCTCACCGTCCGTGTGTCTGCTGTTATTGTTGTGTTGCAGCAGGAAAAAGTAATGTGTTGCTGCACTCGTGAGTCACGTTTCCTGTTTGTCATTACCACATTGTCGGAGACTTTCCACATTGTTGTCACATGTGGGGTATATGATGGCAATACCTCACTAAAACATAAAGCTCATTATTTTTGTGGCAGCCACAATTATTGTTCAATTTTTAAGCATTTGTTTTACTCAGGCTGATTTTATTGTCTCTTAAATATAGAACTTTCTCAGAGTCAGGGGTGTTAAAACTTATGCAAACAACTGTGACTGTTTATCACCTGAAACTGTTCCTGTTTAGTTATTTTTGTTATGATCAGATAAGCACTGTCACGTGATACACATGACTCAGGTAAGTTAAATATGCCCATGAGGTAATGCTGACTCCTCCAGTCGTATAAATACATGATGTCATTCAAGACATGTGAGAAGAAGATGGGGAATGCTCGCAGGAACAGAGAAGAAGAAATAACTTGTATAACACACAGAAATTCCTTTTAATATGCTGTTAGGTCCAAAGCAGTAGGGTGAATGTGAAATGTAAAGCATACTGTAGAAGCAACCAAGAGTTTCTCAAGGAAAAGAAATGGGATATACTTCAATGGCCAAGTCAGTCGCCTGATCTCCAGGCGACTGATTAAAATCCTTTGCAGCCAGACTTACCTGACTGCAAAGGATTTTATGAAAAAGTCTGTAATTCCTAAGCAGTTAATTCAGTTAACTGAAAGTCTGCTTTTCAATCACATCTTGATTGCTTAATTTAAAATCCATTGTGATGGTGTGGTAAGGCAAAGAGTTTATGGACCTAAATGTAGGTCAGAATTCGAGCAGCATCCTCCAAGCTATGTAACTTTTGTTGCACGTTTAATATTTTGGTTCATGTGTTAATGCGGCTGACACTATTTTGAAAGTCACAGCAAGCACATATCAACATGTTTCTTCCTTTTTTCATAGTTAACGCAAGAAATGGGGTCCATCCTTCAGTTACTCCTCCCGTTGACCCAGGAGCTGAACGGCTCAGAGCAGTCAGAGGTCGCCGATCAGCAGGAAGACCTGAAGGCCATGTTGCATCGGCTGAAGGGCGTGGCTCAAACTCTTTCACAGGCATCCAGGCCACAGGTGAGCTGCGCACACATGAACAGCAAATGGGGCAGGGAGAGGAAATGCGAACAAAAGGCTGACCTTGTTGTTTGAAACATGAGAAGGACGGGAATAGTACACTGTAAGTTTTGTCATGTCCTCGAATCATAAAGAAATGTACACAAAACAATCTGAAGTTCTGACGTCTAAGAAACAGGGCTGTATCAACACGGCAGAGCGCATTTATTGCTTTTCAAACACACAACTTACAGGTGAGAGATGCGACGTTTAACACTCCAACAGTGCATCTCTTTCTGTTGTACGATGAGAGACAATTGTACTGAAAGCAGAGTTATTTCCTTACTTTGTTTTTTCTTTGCTAGAGGTTGGACGCAGATGCAGGAAAAGCATAAATCATAGATCCAGAAAGCAGCCTGCTCACATACTATAGCAGTCCAACCTATCTACCCCCTAGTGGCTGTTTGAGGCACCACAGGGTGTTCACACAGGACAGATTGCTTTGCGCGAGCATTTACAATAGTCCAGTTGTGTCTTGTGGCATTTATCTTACATTCAGAGCAGTAACACGAGTCTGTCAGTGTAACTAAAGGGGCCAGCCTCACCCCTTCCTCCGCGAGTGCACCTCCACAAGTAGGCCAACGCCACAGAAAGTCCTTTTGATGCACACACCGCTGACACCTGATCTCTCTGTTAATGCCTCTGTCCCAGGAGCTGAATCAGGGTTTTGTCGAAACGACGGGTGACGAGGGTGGGAATCTGAGCACGACACAGGAGCTGAGAGATCAGGTAACCGAGGAATGAACAAACCCGTCCGTCAAAGAGGGACAGCACCAGTTGTATGACAAAAAGGTTGCACCAGTGCTGACCCTACTGATCTTGATGCGGTATCTAAATTCAGAGATATTTGTGTGCCTCAGAATTGCATTTGACAAGCAAATAAACATTCATTATGTAGTATTTTATACTGTGGTCTAAAGAGCTCTTATCGTCTTCCTGCAGAATGTGCAGCTGCAGCAAGAAAATGCTGAACTGATGCAGAAGCTGCAGAGCGTTCAAGATCAAACTGAAGTTGTCCAACAGGCCATCAAAGACCGAGATGAAGCTATTGCGAAGTAAGTAATGAGTTTATTTATCCAATTCAAGTGAGAAAGTTCAAGCTTTCCAGATTACATGTTTTATATTTTTAAAACTGAAAAACACTAATTCCTAGTTCCCGAGCATGGCTCAGCCCTGAGTTTTAACTTGTTATGGGTGTTAAAATCCTTACTTTAAAGATCTTTGTGTGACTTCTTTGCAGGAAAAACCGAATGGAAGAAGAGCTGGTGAGAAGTAAAAACGATATGATGTCTCTCAACAACCAGTTACTGGAAGCCATCCAACGCAAACTGGAGCTATCACAGGAGCTGGAGGCCTGGCAGGTAAACCACTCACTTTTCTCTGTAGACCTCCAGTCTAATGATCTTTCTCGCATCACTTTGTCACACTGTCCTATCATCTCGTAGCCTGTTTGCAGGGCCTTCTGCTTCAGCACATTCTTATTACGTTTAATCACCTGCATCGCTGATGGGAAGGCCACATTTTCAGAGGCACTGCCTGTGTTTGAGATTGATGTATCGGTCTGAGATTCTAGAGTAGAAAGTCAGAGACAGGCACTATCATAAATCTCCATGTCCTGACAGTTTGGAGGGATAAGAGCGGCATGTGTCTCTGAGCCCTTCTGCTGCTGAGTAATTATGCCAAGCTGAGCCATCTGCCTCAGTGTCTGAGCCTTCATGCTCTGATAAAGATAATACAGATAATATTTAGAGCAAACCACTGATTCACTTCTTTAAATACTGTGTTTCTGAGCAACCACAAGATAAAAACATATAAATTATAAAAAAATAAAGTAAAGTAAGATTAATATAAATGATTATTTAATACAAAAGTCGTGCAAAGAAAAGGTTATTTACTCAAACGGAAGTCAGACCGTTTGAGTACATAAAAGTGACCGGTCATAGGCACTGACCAGTCACTTTATTGGACCAGTTTTGCCATCAGAACTTCATAGATTTAATGAATCTGAACGCTGACAAGGAAGGTGTTTTATAACCGCTTTTTACTGTTATGAACAAATATGCCTAGAAGCACATTGTCTCAATCCATCTCCCAATGGTTTGATTTCAAGACTGTGATCAATAGCTTTAAACCAATATGGTTTTTCTTTTCCCTCCTCCTCTGGCTGCTGCTGCGACTCCTAAAGGGAGCAGATCATCTGCCTCCGTCTCACCCTATCCCTAGCTTCCTCCTCTGTCACACCACCCCTCTGCATCTCATCCTTTACCACAGGGGTGGGGAAACTCCAGGCTTCAAGGGCCGGTGTCCTGCAGGTTTTAGATGTATCCTTGATTCAACACAGCTGATTTAAATGGCTAAATTATGTCCTCAACATGTCTTGAAGTTCTTCAGAGGCCTGGTAATAAACTAATCATTTGATTCAGGTATGTTGACCCAGGGTGATATCTAAAACCTGCAGCGCACCGGCCGCTGCTTTACCACATCAATGAATCTTCTGAGGTCTTCCTCTTTTCCTCCTGCCTGGCAGCTCCATGTTTTTTAAAGAGTCAGTACTTTGTTGGTTTTCTCGTGGGACTTAATGATAACTAGTTTGCTTCTTTAATACTACGACTCTAGTACTAACATGTTATCTTTGCCAATCATGGGATACCAGACTGAGTCCCGGCTCCTAAGTCTTGCTGCTCAATTCCTCTTCCTCCCCACCTTTCCCCAGGATGACATCCAGATCTTCATCAACCAGCAGCTCAAGTCCCAGCAGCAGTTGGAGCAGCCTCAGAAGAAGCCCGCCTCCAACAACAGCATGTCATTCTTTCGCAGACCCAGCAGAACAGCTTCATCTTGGTCACGCCAGTCGTCGGCCTCCTCCTGGAATTCAGACTGCGATCAGGACAAAAACCAATCCCCGTGGAGGGACTGGTTAAGGCGGGGCAAAGGGGTGCAGTACAGCAAATAGTGAACACTAAGTGCTAGAACACTACTGGACTACTGTGGAGCAGATGCACCAAGAGAAAAGGTCAAAGGGAACTCACTAGTGGGACTTCTTGTACATCATGTGAAGGAGAAAAAAAGCCATGAAGACAGAAGGAGCCACTGCAAACAAAGACTGAAACACATTTCACTGAGAGGCTGAGGCTTCTCAAGACGAAGACTGTGACATTATTTTTACAGAATTACAATTGAAGGTTTAACTGTAAATATCGCACCCTATTTTGTAAAATGGTGAATAAGTAGCTCAGTGGAAAGTATTTAAGATTTAACACATCAAAGAGAAGGATGCTCATGAAGTAAGTGATTAAACACTAAATTTTTTTTTGTACTAAATTTGTCCTTATCATGTTGGATATAAGACGTCATGTTTGTTTTTGGGGGTTTTTTTTATTGTCAGTGTTGCTAAATGTGTTTGAGAAACGCTGTACGTTTTCTTGTACATGAAGAAATCTGTTATTTTTATAATTTTGTTCTCATAGTTTCAGTTAAAAATCAAACATGTTGTCTGGACATTGATATGGTCTGTGGACAGCAGAAACTCTATTTTATGTTAAGCACTGTTCAGTATTGAAGCTGCTTTGTACAAACTGACCAAGTCTGGAAGGACTGACAGAAAGTTTCATAAAACATTAAATGATCCTCAGTCAGGTCTCATTTTTCGCCACTGTTTGTCTTCAAAACTCTCCATGATAAAAGTTATTTACTGAAGATATTCTGGCTTTAATAGGGGAAAAGCTGCAAGATTGAAGACAATACACAAATATGGAGATGGGGTAATCTGTCAGGAATTAAAGGAGGCTACATTGAAAGAAATGAAAACGATCAACCTACAGAGGGCTGAAGTCAAATGTAGCAGCTTACAGTATGTCCAAGGATTTCATCCTGATACCTAATGGCAATCAGGGTGCTGTTGCTTAGTCTATAGAGGTCTGTGTGTCCCTCCATGGATGTGCCTCCCCAGATAATCACTGACCCACCACCAAACCGGTCATGGTTTCTTCAATTTTCATGTCTGTCACATGTGCTCAGGGTGAACCTGCTCTCATCTGTGAAAAGCACAGGATACTGGTGATGGACCTGCCAATTCTGGTATTCTATTGCAAATGCTAATTGTTCTCCACAGTGCCAGGCAGTGAGCACAGGGCTCACTAGCAGGTGAGGGACCAGGTATCGCTTCATGCTACCAGAGACAACAAACCTAGCCAGTAAAACCATTCCTGTGTTAGTGGTTGTCTCACTGTTGCCTCTCTAGTGCATATATTGGTCATTTCGTTAACACGAAGGCCACTGAAACTGATTAACAACCCACCCCCACGCTACTTCACTGCTCAAATTAATATCCCAGAAGTTTAACTGACTTGATTAATATTCTCATGAAAGTGTTTAATTTTTTGAGCGGTTTGATAATCTGAAATGGGCTTCTAACAATACGTCTGCTGCTGCCCTCTGCTGATGGCCAGCAAACATTTCAGGCTTTAGTGGGAGGCAGATGTGTCATAGCTGACAGGATCTGACACACTGGACAGACTGCAGCTGAGGTGCTAAAAAATAAGCAAATGTGGTTACACTTAACTCAGTCATGTTAAATAACTGCAAGTCAATCGGTCAACTGAGGTTTTATCAGATTTTTTAATATTTATAATTTGTGTTCAGAGTTGCATATGTTCACTGCCTTTAACACTGCTACTCAGAAGTGTTGATTTATTAAAGCCATGTAGTTTTGTAAATGTGAAAACTTACAGGGCGTTCCAGATGTCGAGACATGGGTAAATTATCATCAGTGTTTGAGGTTCCTGAACTAAGAATAAAGCAAAACCAAACATGTGCAATAACAACTGCGTACTTCATTCAAAATTAATGGTAATAATGGTCTTATTAGAGTGAGTAGAAGACTTACACTACTACTGGATATTTAGGTTCATGTTGGGTTTGCTTGGATAGCAGCTCTGTGGGAATTCATGGAAATTAACTTGTGCGTAAATATGTAAAATGAGCTCTGAGATAAGACGTCATAAACAAATCCAAGTAATTTAGTAGGAAAAAAGTGGGAGAGTCCGTTAAATCACAAAGACAACTTCTACAAATGAGAGACTCAAAGACTCAGTTTTGTAGTTTTGTTCAGGTTGCATCTCATTCAGTTCTGTCTACATCTTTTTGCAGTCATTCTGCATCTTGTGACTGTGTGTTTATATTGCACATCTGTTGCTGTGTTGAACCTCACTTGCAATGATTTTATATAGTTTGTTGTGCATTTTGCCTGTTTAATTGGTTCCTCTTGTCCCCCGTTTCCTCTCTTTTTTGTAGAAGCGTCTTTCTGCTGCAGGGGTTTTGCCAGCCATAAATCACAACTTCATCTTATAATCTCAACATTTTGAAATACTTGACTTCCAGTGTTAAGCACAATGATTGGTTCACACAACAAATCACACCTTTCAGCTTTTCATGTATTTTCAATATTTTTTTCATTCCGCCCCCCCCCCCCAAAAAAAATAAATTATTTAACTTAGAGGACAGAAACAAAGTATCGATCTTATCACACTAATATCGAACCAATACCAATACAGGCTCTGAAAAGATATCAGAAAGGTTTACTATGGTTTTATAAACTGTCAAAACGTGTAAAAGAAAGAATGTAAAGTTTAGAAATAAATAGACTGAAAACAGGCGTTTACCACCAGCAGATTGCTGAAAAAACGTCAAAATATATATGTATATATATATATATATATATATATTTTTTTTTTTTTTTTAACTTACTAACCCAAATGTCTGAGAAAATAAGTTGGAATTGAGAAAACTTGAAATTCCAATTTTAAGGCCATAATGACTCAATTTTTTTAAACTTATAGATGGGAAAAAATAAAATATTATTTTATTATTTTAAGTGAATTAAGAAATTCTCCAACGCAATAATCACTCCTGACCGAACGGTGGCGCCGACGGACTGATACAGCTCGCAGCAGCCGTTTTAGGAAAAAGAAGAAAACGTTTACTATTTACTGAGGAACTGGCATTGGTTTCGTAGAAGCAATTTTATAACTCAAAATACACATTACTTCTCGTCAAACAGGTACGACAGCCGTCTTTATCGTTTGTATATATTATTGAGGTTGATAATACCTGAAATCCTCATTTGAGTTTATGAAATTAAAGTTGAAATCGAGCCTTGGTGACCCCATGACAGCTCAGCTTAGCAGCAGCAGCACCAGCAGGGCGGTCAGGGCTGCTAGCTCCACCTGCTAGCTAGTTAGCACAAAACCGTCAGGCAGCTCATCTTCTGCGCACTAACACGGCTAACGGGTGATGTGACTCTCTCAGAACAGCGTAAAGGTGACTAGCTGGGAAGTAGTCTTCGTAAAGTGGTCAGAGTTAAAGCTGTAAGGTGCTGAACTGATAAACCTGACTATGCACAGTAACTGTAATCTGCGGAAGAGGTGAGCTCTACCTAGACAGGCGGTCATTCCATATGTTACTGTTAATGTTACTGAGTTACTGTTTGTCGTGCTAAAAACTTTCGAACATCATCAGAAAGTAGGGTTCAGCAGACCACGACCTTTTTGTCCCAGGTTATCATCTCACGATGTCTAATACACGTGGAGGTACACTCTGTTTTATAGTAATAACAACAAGTGCCCATTTAGACAGCTTACCATCTTCTTTAAACCTCGTTGATCCGCGTTGTGTTACTTTTATAGAGGAAAAATAGTGACTACAGATTATTTAAAGACATTTAAAATGCAATTTGAGGGTGCAAAACTTTAATAATCAAAAAATACAGTTACAGTCAAAGTGAAATCCTTCTATATGGTATCTGTCTCATAGCACTGCAGTATTGAAACAGCATGCAGGAGTGAATGTGTTGAAGGCATTTGCATATAAATACTTGTTTTAGGGTTCTTGTGGGTGTCGATGAGAACTTGCAAAGTGCAGTGTTATTGTAGACTAAAATTAATCTGAATTAGTACAGATCTATTCAGTTTAAATTGGGGGTGGGCGATATGCCCTTAAAAATTATATCATGATGTTTCAAGAACATTTGCTGCTGCTTCTTCTTCAGGTTGCTCCCTGTAGGGGGAAACCACAGGGGATCATCTATCGCCATCTCACCCTATTCCTTGCATCCTCCTCTTCCTCTGTTACAGTAGCCATCTGCAGGTGCTTCATTGCATCCATGAAACTCTTCTGTGGTCTTCCTCTTTTTCTCCTTGTTTGGCAGCTCTATGTGCAAAACCTTTTATCCGATATATCCACTATCCGTCCTCTGCACATGTGCAAACCACCTCAGCCTTGTCACTCGAACAGTGTCTCCAGGCCACTCAGTTTGAGATGCTGAGTATTTCAAGACAGTTTGCAGTAATGATATTTATGATGAAAAAAACAACATACTAAATGTTTTATTGATGCTTGCAGTCAGGTGTATTTATAACTATAAGTAAATGAAGGGCATTCTTTGCCCTTCTTTTGCATCGAGTTCCTGTCACTGAGGATGTACTACCTAATTCAAAGTGTGAATTCACTGAAACAAGGTGTCATAATTATTTTTGGGTTTCACATCACCAGCTGCTTGAATCTCTTCCTTTATAGTCTGGTAGTACTTCACTGTGTTTTTCCCTCAAGTGGTGAAACAAGTTTGTTGTTTCCACCTTAAGCAGGAACAGTCTTCTTGAATATTTGGCTTTGTTGGAGCTCCAGTTTGACTAAATTGTCACTGGAGTCTTACATACAGCTCTTGCTCTCATATACAGTATGCCTCGACGTGTCTCATTGTTGTGTAGAAGAAAAACCCAACATGTCCTTGGTGGGCACTAGTAGTTTTTCTATGTAGAAAATTATTGCTGTTTAAATGTAATACACTGAAATATTTACTACCTATAATATTTAATAACTCTATTACCTTGTAAAGATGAAAAGAAAGTTATGATGACCATTAAGCTGTGAAACTAAGATTTAATATTCAAAGTGTTTATTGTCATGTGTCACAAGAGAAAAAGGCATTCCTCTGTGCAATGAAATTCTTTCTTTGCTGTCCACCCACAGATGCTGATGAATATATACAATAGAAATAGAACATATAAATACAAATAAATAAATGAAGACAGAAAAGGAGACAAAACATGGAGATTTGAAAAAGAGATGTGTGCAAAAGAGCTATAGCTTATATACTGGCTTAATATGTAAGATGATGTAAAATATGTAAGATAAACACACTAAAACCAAAAATGTTGCGAGAAGCCCTAAATAGCAAGATGTTATTTTAAGCCAGTGTTTGCAATTTAACAACTTAAGATTAAAAGGAATGTTAATTGTGTCATTTTCAGAATATATTTGTAGGGAGAGATGAGGGAGGTGCAGAGGGAGGTGTGACGAAGGTGCAAAAAGTGCATTTAGCCTCCAGACAGTCATGTGACAAATTAAAGCAGAGCTACTGGTTCCCTTAAGGCTCTGCCTTCTTTAATAGTACTTGAGGTTGTGCAACTGTACCCTGAAGGCAACATCGTGCTGACAGTAAAACATGTTGAACTTGAGTGTGCTGGACAGATGAGTTTGGTAAAGTGGCCAACATCATGAAGATCTGCATATTAAATCAAAATAACAGTGACCAAACGAAACAAAAATACACTTGTTTGTGTGTGATGATGATACTGTTCATTTAAGTGTGCTGAAATTGCCATCTGCCCCTTTTTTCTTTTTCTTTTTTTTTTTTAAAAAGATATCTAGTCCCTAGAGCTGGGATCTTGGATGGAGTAAGTGTTGAGCCCCAATGAGATGACTGACCAGGGCAACAACAACCAGAACATCTCCCGCAACCCCTTTGCTGCCCTCTTCAGCTCACTGGCTGATGCCAAACAGTTTGCATCAGGCCAGAAACCTCAACAGCTTTCTACTCAACCACCACGTGAGTAGAATGATCATATTTCATACAGTATAAGAAGCAGTCAGAACATATCTGAAGTAGACTGATTTGTGTTGTGTGTTACTTTGGACAGAATCCCAACTTCTCCTAACATTGTCTGGAATTAAAGTGTGTAGGCTTTGAGGTAGATAATCATAGGTCACGTCCTTTTATAGAAGCCAGCTTGTCTGAGTGTGCTGATATGTAAAAGTTGATTATACTCTGTTGTGTGGACAGCTGCAGACACTGCTGATGACTAGCTATTCCTGGTATACGTTAATAAGGTCGGCTTGAAGTCCGCCCCAGGGGCACAGGTGTAGTTAATGCACATTGTAATAGAAAGTCTTGACAGATGACTCCACGCTATCACAAAAAAAATTCAAGAATGGATCTTTCTGCTTACTGCCCAATGACAACATTTCTATCAGTAGACCCAAATGGACCTTAGCAACTGCATGCCTGCATCTGTGCATTTTCTGTAAATCACGCAGCTCCACCCCAAAGGAGGATATCCCCATGCAACAGTCACAGCATTTGCTTCCAGAGTAACTTGTTTATCTCAGATGTTGATTTTTGTGATGAAATTCCAGGTAAGTTTTTCTTCTAGTGATTTCTCTTGAAAGCCGCTGCACACAGAAGGGTTCCAGTGTTACCTATTTATCACTTCATGAACAATAAGATGATTTTTCTCAGACTGTGTTTCCAAATTCATGTTATTTATACCAAAGGGCTTTGCATGAAAACGGTGCACCACCACTTCTGTATCAGAGAGTATTTTTGAGAGTTTTCTTGGTCTTTCAGATCATCTTCTGTCCCATTAATTGCATTTCTTAATGACATTTCATACAGTGAAAAATGTCAAGATGGAAGCAGTTTTATGCCCTTCTATAACTTGCCCCCTGATTTTTAGCCATCAGTCAAGATCATTTTTAGATCCTAGAAACTTTTCTCGATTTTCTTTTTGTTCGAAAAA